GCTAAATGATTTGTCATAGAAACTCAGAAAGGCATGGTTTAACTTGATTCCCTTGCACTAGGCAAGGCAGATGGTGGTAGGCATGGCAAAAACTTAATGATGTTGACTTTTGGTAGAATCTAGCAGATTACTTCAGTGGGACTAGAAAACGCTATGTATGGGAAAGTTGTCGAAAATTCTGGCAGCTTTCTGTGTTGCTCTTCACATTGCCTTAGAATTTAGAGACAATAATGATTTCTTTTTTTCTTTTAGAAAGCCTTCCTGGCTTACCCCCATCATCTGTCTAGATTTTTGACAGTGGTTCTGAGCTCTATGAGATTCAATATCCCAGTCTTTAACAACTAATTTGAAATTTTTCTTAAAAAATCCTAATTTGCTGGTTTCAATGGCTCACACCTGTAATCCTAGCACTCTGGGAGGCCAAGGCCAGTGGATTGCTTAAGATCTTGAGTTCAAGACCTGCATGAGCAAGAGTGAGACCGTGTCTTTACTAAAAAATGAAAAACCAAGTCAAGAGGATCACTTGAACCCAAGAGTTTGAGGCCGCTGTGAGCTATGAAGCCACAGCACTTTTTCTCAAAAAAACCAAAATCCTAATTTATTCTTTATTATTCAACCATGACAAATGTTGTTAGTGCCCTTACCCATATCCTCCCGGTCCTTGCCATTTTGGTGGTCTCTGGGCCTGCTTCCAACTACCAGCATCTACACTTGCTATCTGAGAGTATACAGTAGCAGGCTGGAAGAGCCAGAAGTGATGCTTTCTGGGAGCAGCTCTCAACCCATACTTGACAACATTGGTGTATAAATACCCCCATTCCCTTATTCCATATTCCCCTTGGGTTTAAGCTGGTTGCTTGTTTAATGACACTGTTTTTTTTTTTTTTATTTGTTTGTTTGTTTCTTTGTTTTTTGAGACAGTCTTACTCTGTTGCCCTGGGTAGAGTGCTCACATCATAGCTCACAATAACCTCAAACTCCTGGGTTTAAGCAATCTCCTGCTTCAGGTTTCCAAGTACCTGAGACTATAGGCACCTGCCACAACGTCTAGCTAATTTTTCCTATTTTTAGTAGAGACCAGGATGTGCGTGTGTGTGTCTCACTCTTGCTCACACTGGTCTCAAACTCCTGAGACCAAGGGATCCACCTGCCTTGGCCTCCCTGCATGTTAGGATTATAGGCGTGAGTCACCCACCTGGCCTATTACTGACTTTTTCCCCCTCACCTGCCTCAATACTCTTGTCTCCTACTGGCATTTCCTGGGATCACTTTCCAAATAAATTACTTGTCCAAGAGTCCTTGCTCTGTGTCTGATCCTGGAGGAACCCAAACCAAAACACTTGACTACACATAATTTTTTTAACCCATATAATCCTCTAGTAATGACAAAAAGGACAAATTAAAGAAATGTAGTTGATAATACTGTATAATTCAGTATGTAAATATGGAGCATCACTACACCAAAAGATATAATGAACTAACACATGTGTGAACCTATACAAAAATCCACCCAGGATGCAGCAGCTTTGAATGCAGGTACCGATGCAGGCTGATCCTGGTGTGCTGTAGTGATCCCCTAAATACCACAAGCAGGCCAGGCACAGTGGCTCAGCCTGTAATCCCAGCACTCTGGGAGGCTGAGGTGGGCAGATTGCCCATGCCTACAATTTTTTTTTATTAAATCATAACTGTGTACATTAATGCAATCATGGGGTATAATGTGCAGGTTATATACAATTTGAAATATTTTCATCAAACTGGTTAACATAGCCTTCATGACATTTTCTTGGTTATTGTGTTAAGACATTTTTATTCCACACCTAGTAAATTTCACATGTACCCTTGTAAGATGCATCGTAGGTGTGGTCCCACCAATTACTCTCCCTCTAGCCACCTGCCCCCTCCCCTTTCCTCCCTTTCTCCTTTCCCCTTCTTCTTGGGCTATAATTGGGTTTATAGCTTTCTTGAAAGCTATAAATTGGTTTCATAGTAGGGCTGAGTACATTGGATACTTTTTCTTCCATTAAGATACTTCGCTAAGAAGAATATGTTCCAGCTCCATCTGTGTAAACATGTAAGAGGTAAAGTCTCCATCTTTCTTTAAGGCTGCATAATATTCTATGGTGTACATATATCACAATTTGTTGATCCATTCATGAGTCAATGGGCACTTGGGCTTCTTCCATGACTTAGCAATTATGAATTGGGCTGCAGTAAACATTCTGGTACAAATATCTTTGTTATAATGTAATTTTTGGTCTTCTGGATAATAGACCTAATAGAGGAATTGTAGGATCTAATGGCAGGTCTATTTTTAGATCTCTAAGTGTTCTCCAAACATCTTTCCAAAAGGAATGTATTAGTTTGCATTCTCACAAGCAATGTAGAAGTGTTCCCTTTTCTCCACATCCACGCCCACATCTCTGGTTTTGATGTAGGCTAATCTTACTGGACTTAGATGATATCTCAAGCTCACAAGTTTGAACCAGCCTGAGCAAAAGCCAGACCTTATCTTTAAAAATAGCAGAGTACCTATAATCCCAGCTACTCAGGAGGCTGAGGCAAGAGAATTGCTTGAGCCCCGGAGTCTGAGGGTGCTGTGAGCTACAACACCACAGTGCTCTCCTGAGGGTGGCAAAGTGAGACTCTGTCTGAAATAAATAAATAAATAAATAAATACCACAAGCAGCATTACCATTAATGACATGATTTTCCAAATTGGTGAACAACTTGGTAAAGCGTAAGGCCATTAACAAAGTAAATTTATATCTCAGTTATGGTGGTAGCATTTGATCAGATTTATTGTGTATTAAGTGTATGCAAAAATATTTTGCATTTTTATGTAAAGAAAAGATGGGTTCTAGGTTCAGATGATTGTATATTTTTCTTAGGGAAATGAAAATTCAGCAGGACATTTGAAGTTATCATAGGGCATATGGTGATTCCTCACTGGGTAGGCAGTGCAACTTCTGGGAAACTTTCTTAAAGAGCAGTGGGTGTGTTCCCTCCACCCTAGTTTTCTTAATCCCTTGCCCCATCCTGCTGACTGAAATGTAGAGGTGATGGCTGCAGCCCCACGACTATCTTGAGCAGGTAGATGAGAACCATACCACACCCCAGGGGAACAGTGAGCTGACAGGAGCCTGTTCCCTGAGGGCACCATGGAGCAAGGCTACCCTACCAGCCCTGGATTGCCTCTGCCTCTGAACTTTCACGACAGCAAAATGTGAACTTCTACTCTAAACCATTGCTATTTGGGGTTTCTATTTCTTGAAACCAAACCTACCAAAAGCAATGAAAACATGCATTTCGAATTAGTTGTTAAAAACTGGTATTGAGGCTCGGCACCTGTGGCTCAAGTGGCTAAGGCGCCAGCCACATACACCTAAGGTGGCGGGTTCAAATCCAGCCTGGGCTCGCCAAAACAACAATGACGGCTGCAACCAAAAGATAGCCAGGCACTGTGGCGGGCACCTATGGTCCCAGCTACTTGGGAGGCTGAGGCAGGAGACTCACTTGAGCCCAGGAGTTGGAGGTTGCTGTGAGCTGTGATGCCACAGCACTCTACCCAGGGGAATAGCTTGAGGCTCTGTCTCAAAAACAAAAAAAAAAACTGGTATTGAATCTGGTAGGGTTAAGAACAATTGTCTAGAATCTAGACATACGTAGGGTTGAGCCAGGAAAATTACCTCGAAATAAAAACAGATTATTTTTATGTTGTCTCTAAATCCAAGAGAATACCTCAGTAATAACACATAACCTTTGCAGTTGTGATCAGCTCGTTCTTCTAATGACCGCTAAGGTACAAGAGGGAACCGGGTACCCGGGTGGAGTCAGGCCAGGGAAGAGCTCCGATGGGTAGAATCGACTGGACAAAAAGGTCGAAAATGAATCAATATAGTGTTGTCTGTCACTTGTTGAAAATAGAGGGGGCTGAGGGGTGTTTTATGAAGTGTGGTTTCGTCTTTCACAGCTGGTGATGGTTAATGTAGAGAGTAAGCCCACAGGGAGCACTGTTCATTTGACGTGTATGGCCGCATGCAGCACAGGGCCTGGCTTGCCCAGTAAATGCTGTTGAAAATATGTTCCAGTGTTGCAGCAGCTGTGAGCCCAGTGTACTGAGTGAGCTGTGTGCTGTTTATTGATCTGTTTCCTAGCCCTGAAATCCTTTTGGAAACTGAGGCAGAGAGAATGATACAATCAGACAAAGGAGCAGATCCACCAGACAAGGACGTGAAGCTTTCTACCACCACCAACCCAGAGAGTGGTAGGTATTGCCAGGGTTCCTGATTTAGACCAGAAAGACCTTATAACATCACTTTAAATATGTGGGAAAACAAATAGACAGAAATTCTAATAGATTTATTCTGATCCCTTCAAGGAATCTATGCACTTTGGGTTGTACTACAACTACTCGTGATAAGTTTTAAGAACAAATTTTAAGGCAGGAAGGAAAGAAATCGACACAGTGGATTCAGTACAGTGTTTTCCTTTATCCTACAATGTTTTATGTAAAATTAGAACTTCTTGTTTACATTCAAAATATCACTATATGGGTCAGAAAGAAAGTAAAAAGGAATAAAAAAACCCCAAATGTTGCTGTAATATTATGAAAACACTGTTAAAAAGAAAAAAAAAAACAACCGTTCACTAAAATCTGTTTAGTCTCTTAAATCAGGAGAATATTAAGATTTGTATTAAAAACCTAGTGGGAATACTGGGCATGGTGGCTCACACCGGTAATCCCAGCACTCTGGGAGGCCAAGGCGGGTTGGATTGCATGAGCTCACAGGTTTGAGATCAGCCTGAACAAGAGTAGAACCTGTCTTCAAAAATAGCCGGCCATTGTGGCAGGCACCTGTAGTCCCAGCTACTCAGAAGGATGAGGCAAGAGGATTGTTTGAGCCTGAGAGTTTGAGGTTGCTGTGAGCTATGATGGCATGGCACTCTACCTGGGTGATAAAGTAAAACTCTGTCTTCCCCCAAAAAACCTATTGGGAGTAAGAATTTTTCAATAGCACTTTCAGTAAGGATTCTCAGAAAAAGGTTAAAAACAAATGCCTATGTTTGAGTTAGAGAAAGAACCATATAACTAGATGATTTTGAGATAAGCCACAGGCTGGTAAGATGGAGGAGGGAGAGCAATCATGTTACTCTCATGATCTCTTACATCTGTGTTTTATGATCTATTCTTTCACGAGATACTAACAACCCTAAAAAACTAGCACATTCTCATTTTGCCACAAGAAAACTGGTGTCAGATAGTGACATGACTTTCTTAAGTTCACATCGTAAATGATGGGACAGGACTTGAAGCCAGGTCTTTTGGCTGCAAATCCAGTGTCATTTTCATTCCCAATGAGACAAGATGACGTGCCCCAGCTGTCTGAATTGCCTTTCACATTTACAGCTGCCTTCCTTTCCACCCCATGTGCCACCGTCTCTCTGCTCACTGCCTTTCCTAGGCCTCTCCCAAATCCTGAGGCTTGTGCTGCAAGAGTTGAGTCTGTTCTACAGCCGAGATGTGAACGGAGTGTGTCTCTTATATGATCTCCTCCATTCCCCGTGGCTGCAGGCTCTGCTAAAGGTAAGCACTCCATTGCTTGGAAGCCTGTGCTTACTGTGGGGGGGAGGGGGGGGCAGAAAACTATTGTCTTAATCCATCCAGGCTATTATAACAAAATGACCAGTTTATAAACAACAGAAATTTATTTCTCACAATTCTGGTTGCTGTGAAGTCCAAGATCAAGTTGCCTGTGGATTCAGTGTCCAGTGAGGGCTCCCTCTCGGGTTCATAGTTGGCACCTTATTGTGGAAGTGGCTAGCTAGCTCTCTGGGGTCTCTTAAAAGGGCTGATTCCATGCATGAGGGATTTGCCCAAAGGCTCCTCCTCCATACCATCTTCTTGGAGGTGAGGAGTTTAACATATGAATTTTAGGAGTACACAAACATTCAGACCATAGCAACTACTGACCCAGGGGTGTCACTTGTCAACTGGTAGGAAGTTTCAACTTGGAAAAAGATTTCATAGAAGGCAATCCTCAGAGAAGAGCCACACAAACTTCTTAGCTTATGAAAGAATTAACTTCAGTGGGAAAAAAATATGGTGGCTCCTTTCTTTTCTCCCCTCAACTCTTCTTTTTGCAGAGACCCCCTAGTTCACAAAACAGCCACCAAAATGGCCATCAGCAGCACCGTATCCATCACCTTTGTCCTTAGGCTAGCATGGTGGCTCATACCTGTAATCCTAACACTCTGGGAGGCTGAGGTGGGTGGATCTCTTGAGCCTGGTCTCAGGAGTTTGAGACCAACCTGAGCAAGAGTGAGTGAAAACCAGGCTCTACTAAAAATGGAAAAACTAGCCAGGCATCATGGCAGGCACCTGTAGTCCCAGCTACTCAGAAGGCTGAGGCAAGAGGATCACTTGAGCCCAAGAGTTTGAGGTTGCTGTGAGCTATGACGACACCATGAGACTCTACCCAGGGCAACAGAGTGATATTCTATTTCAAAAACCAAACTAAACCACACTCAAACAAAACAAAACAAAACACAATCCTTTGTCCTTAAAGCCAGCTCTGGACAAATAAAAGTGCTTTAAAAATTATTACTACTTGTTAGTTAAAATCAGAAAAGAAGCTATCTATAGTTTTATTTAGTTGCCTTAAAATTTTTCTTACTCTAGGGCTGCACCTATAGCTCAGTGGGTAGGGCACTGGCCACATACACTGAGGCTGGCAGGTTTGAACCTGGGCCACGCCAGGTAAGAAAATGACAACTGCAACAACAACAACAAAAAATAGCTGGGCGTTGTGGCAGGCGTGTGTAGTCCCAGCTACTTGGGAGGCCAAGGCAAGAGAATCACTTAAGCCCAAGAGATTGAGGTTGTGGTGAGCTGTGACAACATGGCACTCTACCCAGAGTGACAGCTTGAGACTTTGTCTCAAAAAAAAAATTTCTTACTCTAAAGTTTCTTTTTTAGACTCAGTGCCTAGCTCAAGCAGTTAGGGCACCAGCCACATACACCAGAGCTGGTAGGTTCAAATCCACCCCAGGCCCACCAAACAACAATGACAACTACAACCCCAAAATAGCTGGGCTTTGTGGCTAGTGCCTATAGTCCCAGCTACTTGGGAGGCTGAAGCAAGAGAATCGAATAAGCCCAAGAGTTGGAGGTTGCTGTGAGCTGTGATGCTGTGGAATTCTACCCAGGGCAACAGCTGGAGACACTGTGTCAAAAAGAAAAAAAAGAAACGAAAAAGATAAAGTTTCTTCTTTAATTTAACTAAAGTTTATGCACTCTGCAATAACACTTATGAGGTCGTAGATAATGGATGCTAATACTATAATTTTTTTGTTCTGAATAAATATTATTAAGAAAAATCTGTTTGCAGTTATTTTTTGAGGTGTGGGTGTTTTCTTTACTTAAATGTGAAATGTGGTTGACCATTCTTAAGATGCATGTTGCCATATCCTTTGAAGTAAAAGTGGCAGGATCTTTAACATGAATGAAGAAGTACTCCTCACATCACCTCTTTTAAAACAATCATATTTCTATTAGGCATTTTACCCTTAGGATTAGCTAAGACAGTTTTAATTGCATCGTGGGCATTACCCTTAACCACCACTTGTAGGCTATTAAGGCTTTACACTCCCTCATCATTCACTTAGGCTTCATCACTTCCAAGTGAACATGAGCACTGGCCCAGAGGTAGAATAGGGAAGCAGTGTCTTTATAGATCTGGGTAGAAAAGGCTGGGCTGAGCTGGCCCCTTGGGCCTTATTTTTGTAAGAGAAACTTCTGTCCTAAACTAAGATTAAGGACTGGTGGTAGGCGGGCTTTGGAGTATTCAACCCAACCCTAGATCATCATATAGAAAATAATTCCTCAGGGATAGCAGAGACAAAGTCAGAATTTTTATAAATGAATTTGTACTGGAGAATTAAAAAGGAGTGGGAAACAAGCCAGGGAACAGAGCAGAGTACAGATAAACATATGTAATGTGCCCGGCCTCTTAACTCAGAGCCTTTGCTGAACTGTCACCTCTGAGCTCATGCCCTGTGCAGTTACCCAGCGCCAAGGTCCTCTCAGCACTGTGGTCCCAAGAGCCTGTTTCTTGAGAAGAACCTCTGTACATCATCTACAAGTCCCTATTGGTCTCAGCCCTAGAAATGCTACCCTTACTCAGTTTAAATTTCTTTTTATCATTGAAGTTGCTTTGGGAAGATCAGTTTCCCAGTGGCAGCCAATAATTAAGCCTTTGAAGCCCTGGGACCACCAAACTCAAGTTCACTGCTCTTTGGCAACTAGAGATACACACTGTTAAAGACCAGCACCATTGTGCTATTCAGTTATTGGTGCAGTTGCCGAGGCTGTTTGTCCTCTACGAGAGCCTTAAATCCAAAATGTTATAGTCATGTTATCAATATCAGTTCTCCCATCCTCACCCTTCTGCAGGTTTATGACTGCCTCCAGGAATTTAAAGAAAAGAAGCTAGTTCCTGCCACCCCCCATGCACAGGCATTATCCTCTGAGGTAAGAAGACTTTACCCTATGGAATAGCAGAGCTATTTATGTAGCACCTGCAGTGCTAGTTTGAATGCATTGAAGGCTCTCATGGAAAAATTTGATTGATGATTATGTATCTAATAAGTATTTTTAAATTGAACTTTAATATAAGGAAGAAAATAGGCCATCTACCTCCCCAAATTAAAACAAAAATCTCCACATTTTTAGCCAAGTATCCATCTCTCTTTTTTCCTAAACCTTGGGCTCAATTGAGCCTACATAAGCAGGGCAACGTGGAAACTATTTTCAAATTTCTATCTCTAATCTGGACTCTTCCCCTTAATTCCAGTCTCAAATATCCAGCTGCTTCATCCCCATCTTACGTGGCTGTTGAATGAGCTCATCAAACTAACATGCCCAGTCCTGATCTTCCCCCCCACCACACCCCACCCCACTGCTCTTGCAGCCTTGTCTATTCAGGAATGGCACCTCCGTTCTTTCAGTGCTCAGGCCACAGTCTGTACAGTCATCTTGGGTTCTCTTCCTTTCATACCTCATACTCAATCTGATCGGAAATCCTGTCAGCAATATTTTAAAAATATATCCAGAATCTCACCCCTTGTCCTACCCGATTGCACTATAGCCTCCTCCCTGGTCTCCTGCTTCTATTCTTGTTCCCTGTGGTCATTTCTGACACAGAAGCTTCAAGAGATCTTTAAAAGCAAGACAAGTCATGTCTGCTCAGACCTTCCTATTGACTTCTCATTTCAGAGTAAACACCGAGTTCTTCCTTAGCTGACTGTGATTGGCCACCATTGCCTCTTTGACGTCACACTCAGTGCTTTCTCTGTTCACTCTGCTCTGGCCATACTGGCCCTTGGTGGGGGTTTACATTTATCAGATGTGCTCCTGCTGCTGGCTCTTTGCACTTCCTCCTCCCTGTGTCAGGAATGCTCTTGCCTATGTATCCACATGTTGTGCTCCCTCATGTCCTTCCGGTCTTCAAATGTCACCTTCTCAGTGAGACAGTCCCTGGTCACTTGCCTAAACTTGGATCCCCTTGATAGAAAGCATATATTTGAGTGACAAACTATAGGTAAGCTCCTTTAGCCAATCTGCATCTACATGTTAACGTTCACCTCACAGCCACCTTCAGTTAGGTTCATTTTTCTTCTTCACTCTTCTCATTATCAAACAAAACCATTTATTTTACTTAACTATGTAAAGTCCATTGCACATAGGGGAGAATGGGGATTTTTGCCTGCCTGCTCACTGTTGTTTTTGCATCACCTAAAACAGTGCCCAGTGTCCAGTGCCCAGCACATGGTAGGTGTTCAACAAACATTTGTTGGCGGTATGAATAAATGCAATTCATTTACCAGATTAAAAGAAATATAAAAAAAGAAAGAAAAATTTCTACCCTCAATTCCAATAAACAACAACTCAAATTGTTCTCAACTGACTACTGGAAAACACATATAGGGTATTTTATTCAGTTATAATTCCAGTGAATGAAGGTAAAAACTTTATATACTGTTTTCATCTCACTGTATGATGACTAATGATGCTCAGTTGCTAAAGATTCATGGGACTGATTAAAGTCTTAAGAGGTCTATGTCTTCTGAAAGCAGGTCTATGCCCAAACCACAGCAGAGTTTAAAGCAGGAGTCCTCAACCTTTTTAAACAGGGAGCCAGTTCACTGTCCCTCAGACCGTTGGAAGGCCAGACTGCGGGCCCTGGGACAAGTTGGCTGCTAAGCAGGACAGGTAAAAATACCCAGAGGGCCAGATAAATGTCCTAGGCAGGCTGTATGTGGCCCGTGGGCCATAGTTTGAGGACACCTGGAAAGGATCAGAATTTATTCTGTTCAGTACATTTTTATTGGAACAAGCATTAAAATTGCTAATCAAGTAATACACCCTGAAACAGAAACTATTATTTCCATTTTCTTCTTCTTTTTTTTTTTTAAATATATTATTTATTTATTTATTTATTTGCAGTTTTTTTGGCCAGGGCTGGGTTTGAACCTGCCACCCTTGGCATATGGGACCGGCACCCTACTCCTTGAGCCAAAGGTGCCGCCCTCCATTTTCTATTTAAGAGCATCCCATGGGATTAAGCTACCTGAGTTCTCCAGGTACTTATCCAGAGAAATTTGGATAGCTTAATAAACCTGTAGAGCACTGACATTAGCAAATAGCTATTTTAGAGCCACTAAAGGGAAAGTGCCTTGGTACATACTTACTTAGTTCTTCCTCCGAGGCTATGTGCCAGGACTGGGGAATTAAAGTATAGATCTACCCCAAATCTTGAATTCTACTTGTTGTAGTAAAGTTTAATGAATAAGAAAGATGGTAGAACTACAGTTTAAAGATGAAAAAGAAATCTTCAGGGTGGTACCCGTAGCTCAGTGGGTAGTATGCTAACCACATACACCGAGGCTGGTGGGTTTGAACCCAGGCTGGGCCAGCTAAAACAACAATGACAAATGCAACAAGAAAAATAGCTGGGCATTGTGGTGGGTGCCTGTAGTCCCAGCTACTTGGGAGGCTGAGGCAAGAGAATCACTTAAGCCCAAGAGTTTG